ATAATTTCAAAGTGTAAGGAAAACAATGGAAATATTACAGAGCAATGAAAGAAGGGGAAAAAATAAAAGAAAAATAATAATAAATATAACAAGAAACCGGGGGGAAAAAATTCTAAAAAGAGGACGAAAATTTTAGAAAAATCTGGAAAATAAAAGATATAATCTTTTCATCAGCACACACGATTATATCCGCAAAAAAGAGTGCTTTCTAATATTGCATCAATATAGCCAAAGCAAAATATATCAATACAATAGTGTGAAAAGCACTTAAAATTTCACAAAAAAATTACAACAAATAAAATAGAACACAATAAGAAAAATATCACGTAAAAACAGAAAATAAAATAAAGAAAAAACAGAATAAAACATGAAATAAAATCTATAAAGCGAGTAGCGAATTCAAATGAACTTACATAAACGAAAAATTTTTCAAGAATGATTTAAAATATTATAGATAATGACATAAGCAAAAATTTAGGGATGATTAATATATCCAATTATGAATGTCACCGTGAGGAAGAGAAATATTTTGATTTCGTTGATAAACATCATAAACATATTATTACTGGTAACTTGAATATTATAGAAAACTTAGAACTTAGGAATTTAATGATAAAAGGCACAAAATTTAGACCAATTTACCATATGTCAATCAATAAAATTCTAAAACACTTTCTCAATGATCTCAATAGTTTTTGTTTAAAGATATCAAATAGATTCTCTTTACCTTTAGGTTTTCTAACAGAATGGAAATGGGGTGTTTATAATTACTTTAAAAACTTTGTTTTCAGTAATAAGGATAATTTAAATAACAATAACAATTGAACAAATTTTTCCAAAATTATCCAATCAATTAACTTCATAAAAATTTTGTAATTACTCCCATTGATAAAGCTAACAAAAATTATGCAATCTTCTGTAAAAATTTCTATGTTGAACTTATAAATACGGAATTAAAAAACAGTAAAAATTTTAAACTTTGTAATTTAAATAATAATATTATCATTAAAAAAATTTTAGCTTTATGTAAGAGATTGAAAATTAAAATTAGAAATATACAATTTCTTTACTTAATTATCAGTCCTAAATTTCATGAAATTCCCTTAAAATTTAGAACTATCACATGTGGACCTAATACTTATCTGGCATCATATTTTCTGGCATCATATTTTCTGACATCATATTTTCTAACTACTTAAATAAAATTATTAACAATATTTCCAAAAGGTTTCTCTTGGATTATCACTAATAATCAACCGATTTTAGAATTCTTGAACATTATAAAATTAATTCTATTAATTCTATTTCCAGGATCTTTTCAATAGCATTCCCCTTTCTAAACTAAAAGATGTCCTTTTGAATTATTATACTATGATTTTAAAAATATCCATTGTTGTGATTTTGATTATTGGGAAATTCTGATTAATTTTTGTCTTTTTAGTAATTATCTTTACAATGGAAGGGATATTTATCTTCAAATTGATGGAATACCACAAGAATCTAATTATTCTTCTCTCTTAGCTAACTTATTTTTGCATTATTATGAAAAAGTTATACTCTTAGTATTAAATTTGCTTTTAGATTTATTGATGATTTAATTATCTTTAATTTTCAAGATTTCACTATTTTATTAAATAATATTTAACCCTAGTAATTTATCTTGCTTCATAATCATGATGATAATATTAATTTCAATTTTTTGGATTTGGGTATTATAAAAGAAGAAAATATTTGCTTTGCTGATTTATGCGATAAAAGAAATGATTATAATTTTAATATAAATAAACTAATTACTTGGAATTTCAATGTTTCTAGGAGCATCTATTTAAATACCACCTTTAGTGAAATGAAAAGAATTAAAAGAATATGTAGTAATAATTATTCATCCAAAAAAAAAAATAGATAAACTCTTTCAAAGTTTGATAAAAAACAATGGATACCCAACTAAAGTAATAAAATTCTTCAAAAATACGCCAACTTGGCAAGCACAAACTTTTCAAAACTCAGTCTATGTTTTGTACGCTAACACAGTCCACGCATCTACACCCAAAAGGGAAAACGCTAATAAACTCATTTTAAGTAAAAACACATTTTTAATCTTCATTTACGCCACTCCGTACAGAAAATAATAAAAAAGACAAANACGATAAAAGAAATGACTATAATTTTAATATAAATAGACTAATTACTTGGAATTTCAATGTTTCTAGGAACATCTATTTAAATACCACCTTTAGTGAAATTGAAAGAATTAAAAGAATATGTAGTAATAATTATTCATCCAAGAAAACAAATAGATAAACTCTTTCAAAGTTTGATAAAAAAAACAATAGATACCCAACTAAAGTAATAAAATTCTATATAAAATCATCGAGTTAATCGTATATTATTGTGGATATATTTACAAAAAAATTTCGATGTTAATTTATATAGTTTTTACCATGTGCAAATACATTTCGGGCAAATCCGTGGCAAAAGTTATTTACTAAAAATTTTCGTTGTTAATTTTCTCCATGTATAAATCCTTTTCGGGCAATTCCGTGGTTAAAAATTATGTGGAAAACAGGCAATTTATGTTTCTTTCTCTTTTCTATTTTATATATTTTTTTTCTTAAATAAATATTTATTTTCCAAAATTCTTTATTGTAGGAATGGAGGAAATATTGTGGTGTCAACACCAGACTCGATCCCAGTATATATGTTCATACAAAATTTCATACAATAGCGATTGTGAACAATTTATCATTCTAACTATTAAGGATGATATATTATAAAAAAATTTCGATTAATTGCTAAGTGATTAATTATATTATAGGACCTATATCTAAACACTAGTCGCTATACTTTCATCGAACAATTTAGAAATATCTTGGGTTCATCTTTTAGGATAGCTTATACACCTAATAGATGAAATTAATATTATAATTGATTAACACGTTATACTCATAAAAATTTGGCTAAAATTATGATTTGTTTTATAAATTTAATTGAAATAAAATAAAAAGAAAATGTTCCGTATTTGTAAATCACGCTCATGGCGTTGGCGCACTGTAATACGCCAACTTGGCAAGCACAACCTTTTCAAAACTCAGTCTATGTTTTATACGCTAACACAGTCCACGCATCTACACCCAAAAGGGAAAACGCTAATAAACTCATTTTAAGTAAAAACACATTTTCAATCTTCATTTACGCCACTCCGTACAGAAAATAATAAAAAAGACAAATAAAGTGATTAAATAGTGATATAATTTTGAGATTAATTAATCAACTAAAGATTTTATTGCTAAAAATAATTCATTATATAATCGATATCTTCAACTAAATGAAGAATTTATTGACGTTTCCAAAAATAAATATTTAAATTCTTTCTACCTTTTTTAAGCTTTGTTTAAAAGTAGTACGTGTTATACTATAACATGTGCAGATTAAGAACAATATAGTATAGGATAAGAAATAAAATGCCGGGTATTTTATTTGTTTCATTGACTCAAAATAGAGTCTTACAGAACTGTACAGTTATTTTGTAAACTGATGTGTTTATATTTATCTACTACATCTATGGCAACAGTTAATATCTATGCACATAAATCAAATACGGATGATTATAATTATATTATTTAGCAAAGAAAATCAAAATCTAAGTTTTTTTCCTTTTATAAAATATCCAATCTGCTAAATTCCTGAAATCTTCAACAAGATGGAGAACTTATTGGACAAAGTAAAAGATTTAAATCCCTTCTGTCCTTCAGTTGCACTTGAAAGTACAGTACATAATGTTGTAATACTTATATTCTTTTTTGTTATTTAATATAAGATAAGAAATTAAATACTGGCTGATTTATATGATTCGTACACGGAGAAAAAAATTCTGGTAAAATTATCGTACTGTATGGTAACGATATTTCTGTGAAAAAATATCATTTTGGTAATAGAAACTAAAATATACGGTATTTAAAACATTCATTTCATAATTTTTCTGTTCCAATGGCAACGGTTTACCTTAAATTTTGGATTTTAAAACTATAATTCTTTTTCTCACTGGTTTAGAAATAAAATACAAAACTGAAAAGCACATTTAACCAAATAAACACTTTTAAGCCTTGCTCAAAGGTATCACGATAAAATTAGCATATTTCATCACATTTACCAAATTTTATCACAGATTATGAAGTCATATTTTATTGTTTATTTTATTAAAATTGTTACCAAAGCACTTTGGTAAAGATTAGTAAGTTCGTGTTCTAATAGACTCAGAAACAGATTAAAAATTTTACCATATTCTAATAGTTTTGGCCATATTTTTTTCTCATTATAGAGATCCTATTAAAGCAATTTAAATTATGTTGCAAAAAGATGTACATTACGTAATGTGCATTATGTAATACGATGTAAGATGCACATTATGTAATACGATATGTGTAATACATTAATCGATGTACGTATTTGTGAATACGTTTAGTTATGCAAACAATAAATATTCATATGTATTATGTCATATTGTAGAGCTTAGCAAAGGAAATAGGAATTTTAGATATTTTTTTTATAAAGTTCTTTTTCGCAAGAGCAATAATTATTCATTTATATTTATTTAAAATATTAATCAAATATATACTCAAAATAAACATTTCTTTCAAAAAACGAAGGTGAACATACAGAAAAAATATTTTAAGGTTTTACTTTTAAGCTATAGGTAGTAATTTATAGGTAGTAAAATGAAATAAAATAAATATCACGCACATTCATAGTTTAAAACGAGTGTTTTTCTTAAAATATTTTGAGCTCACCTTAGAAATCTGCTGCACGAAATGCTTAAGGTGCATTTCTAAACATTTTCCTTTAATCTTAATAAGAATATTTCGCTGACATATTTCATAGAGATGCGCTCTGAACGATTGAACGACTATATGTCAATAAAATATTTTTGATCGCATAGAATTCACCAGTACATAATAAAGCTTTGCAAACAATTCTGATTGGAATAATCACAAAGTAAATAGACTCCGTCGTAAAGTAAGTAAAAGTAAATTGTTTTCTATAGATGGCAATTACCGGAAAAAGCTGTATATGTTGCACTATATTTTTGCTTTCTTTAACCCCGTTTCTATGTTTGCACATTCAAAATTTTCTTGTTGTTACATTTCTGTTTTTTTATGTTGTAAACATTAAAGTTTTGTAATATATTTCGCAATTAATTCCTTCACTTCTTATTTCAAATTTAATATGGAACAAAAAAAAATATTTTGTTCATTTTCCTCATTTGATTGCAATGGCGGTTTTTTTACTTACCGATCATAACAAAAATATTAGAATAAGCATAGGGAAAAATGACATACTTTGTACTATAAATTAAAATAAAGCAACATTGCTTTAATAAATCGCAAATAAAGTCGAGTCAATTTAATTCGAAACAGTGACATTTCGGTTTTGAAATCGAGATATTTACTCAAAGAATGTAAGAAGGAGAGCAGCGAGGTTCATAAGAAAAGTTTTAAACAATTTATGGGAGCGGATAACCTGGTTGGTAGGAAGTTGGACTAGTGTTCATCAAAACGGGATTTTGAATCTCGCTGGCGAAGGAATCCCCGTGCAAATCTGTTGAAGTAACAAAGACCTTCAAATTCGCATAACAAATCAATACTTTGGGGTTATTGAATTGAAGATTGATCTAGTTAAAGTCAAAATTTCTATCTGTGGATGAATGGAGTACGATTAGGTTCTCTCTGAAAAATGGGCTGTGACGTGTGTGTGGCTTAAGTCGTGTTGTTGGCTATAGAGGCTGCTTCTGAATAAACGAGAAACACAGTCACTGCCTTAAAAAATTCACTTGATTTCAAGAAGTCTTTCTGGTATTGGCAAGTAGCATAAGTAACAACAACAACAAATGAGCTGGAAGAAAGAAAAAAAGGGAATTAACTATTGATAGGGGATGGGGAAGAAGTTCGAGCAAGAACCATTTCCTTCTGAATCGACATTTCTTTCTTTGTTCACACTTCATTATAAGGAAGCTTCCTGTTTTCCTTCTCTCATTCTATTTTTGACATTGAGGAAGGATCTTGATAAAAAAAAAACCAAAACTATAATATTTGTTTTTGTGGCTTTATATGTGCTGTATTCGCGTTTTGTTGCTTTATTTCTTTGGATTGGAAGCTGTTTTATGTACTATAATACAATGTACATTATATGAAATGGTTGATTTATCAAATGCGAGCCTATTGATCACAAGGCCATCAGTCTGCGAACTCTGCAAAACTTTTTCACAAGATAAAATCTAGTTTTTTCCTTGCAGTTTTGCTTACTGTAAGATAAATATATCTTTTATCGAATCATTTTATGATTATTTTCGATACTTTCTCTTAATTTTCAGAAATACTTTTATGATTTTGAACATCGTATAAGTAAAATTGCGATTCAACTCCATTGTCGAATCGGTTCTCTACCTGATTGTTATCTGTTTTTAGATATAAATTTATTTTTTAGATAGATTCATATCAGGGTGGGCCACTCTGTAGTTTTAAACGTTTTTGCACTAATGATTTTAATGAGCAAGATTTTTAAGATAAACACAGTTTAAGATTTTTCTATATAACCAAACACTAGAGTTGTCATGCTCCGAGGTACATGGCACTTGTCTCCCTATGAAGTAAGCCGGGTTCGAAACCCAGAGTAGTCTAGTCAGGCGAATTTTGCTCTTGGCTTGCTCATGGACCCCAATGCTGACGTAATTATTTTATAGAGTTTCTTAGCTAAAATAGCACAGTTATTTGCTAAAATAGTAGTACATATCTGATAATTTTTTTTTGCAAATTTAACAGATTTTTTTACGGTGTATAAGTATTACTTACGATGCATGATTCCAATAATTGCTTTAATAATCAGAATAATTTCAATATGAAAATGAGTATCAATTTTTTTTAACTTTAAGTATTAATCATAAGATCACAGTTAAATAGTTAATCATAAATAGGACTTCAATATTAACTAACTGAGATCAGGATATTTTTAATTCAGAATCTGAAAATCCACTATTATATGCTCTCAAACTACTCGATAGATATATATTTTTATTTTCAAGCGTGTAAGAAGAATATCATTAGTTTCATAAAAAATAAACTATTGAGAAAGAAATTTTTATTGGAAAACATTTCTTTAGCTGACTGACTATTATATGCTCCCAAACTACTCGATAGATATATATTTTTATTTTCATGCGTGTAAGAAGAATATCATTAGTTTCATAAAAAATAAACTATTGAGAAAGAAATTTTTATTGAAAAACATTTTTTTAGCTGACTGCAATTTTAAACCTCTTTTAACTAACAATCTTTACTGCCTATTCATATTCAATCCGCAACTCTGGCATGATTCAGTTTTCTGAAAATTTTCTCATTATGTGGGATATTTTTATATGAAATATATTTGCTCTAGCAATGCTCGTTTACATTTAGTACATTTCTATTTGCTCTGGAGAATAAAATTCCAGCTGATCAACACGTTTTTCATATTTGTTCTACAACATGCTTTTTTCATTGTAAATGCAATACAGGTCATCAGATTCAAGTTTTAAAAGTTATGTTTTTAGGAAAAAATTAAAACACAAAATTTTTTCAGGATTTTTAAACTTACAGTTTGATAACTCTTGTACATATTCGAAATCAGGTAATTAACGATCATAAATTATTGCAGAAATGTGTTTGATTAATTGCTTCGTTTATATTTAGGAGAATATAAAATACTTATTTTGAGGATAAAATACTTACTTTACTTTATCACTATTTGATTTTCGTTTATCAATCATTGTTAAATAAGAAACAAGTTGGACACAAGAAACAGCATTTTATTTGTTGTATAAAATTTTCAATTAAAAGGTTTAATCTAAAACAAGTTAGACATAAGGATGCATTCTAGAAAAGCACTTTATTTGTCTAATCGAATTTTCAATTAAAAGTAGTATATTTTTCTACTTTTTTCCACCTTTTACGAAATACCAAATAACGATTTTAAGAAACATGCGAAATGAAAAAAGTTTAAAAACCAAAAAACTGCACTGAAAAAAATACACGGTCAAAATTACTAAATTAAGATGAAATTTACTGTATTTCTGGCTCTATGTAATTTCGTAATTTTTCTGGATCACTTTGGCAATGATTTTGGTAAAAATCAACAATAAAATATGGTTTAAAAATGTGTAATGAAGTTTAAAAAAAGTGGAAAAATATAATTATTTTAAAATGATACCTTAGAGCACGGCATAAAAACAATTTATTTGCTAAAATTTACTTTTCAAATTTTTTTTGTATTCTTTACTAAATATGTGATAATAAAAACAATAAATTTCCATATGAACAAAAAGAACAGTTTATTTACTTTTTTTTAATCAGAAGTTTCGTTACCATACAGTGCGGTAACTTTGCCAAAATATTTTTTTTTCCTTTGTTTGCGACCTCACATTTTTGTAAGAAGTTTTTCTGTAATTTCTTCAAAAAATTATGTTTCTTTTTTGTGACACTTAAGTCCGTCTTGAAGAAAAAACGAATTTAAATTAACTATTCTGCAAGGAAAAAAAATAGCATACAGGAAAAAATAGCAATATATTTTAAGTATTGTTCTTTATTGATACATGTAATCAGCAAAGTAATTATATTAATAATAATAACAACAATAAAACGAGCCACTCTCTTTACGTAATTATCAGATTTCTTCAAATTTAATGACTCAGTCAAACATAGGTTTCGCACTGCCAATGACAATTTTGGGTTTCAATAGAACCACCTATGTATTTATTTAGTGTTCCAGAAACTTAATATGGTTGACAAACGTAAGAAAAATCAAACTTTACAATTACTTAATTCATGTTATGGTACTCATTAAAAATTATTAATTGCAATCTACAACTTCCTCAGTGAGTTCATTACCCCACATTGGTTCATTAGCCAGTAATGGTTGAAAATTAGTAATAATTAAAACTAAGTATGAAAAAGCTAAAATAATATTAGTAAATAGATTCAGCATAAAAATTAAAATGCTGAGACCAAAGAAATAAGTAAAGGAAGAAAATAGAGAAAGTAAGAACTAACAAAATATAATACTAAATATTAATTATCTGAAGATAATAAAATTTTCAACGAAGTAAATCCAAAAGAGCAAAAAAATATATTATTTTATTGATGGTCAATTTTACTGCCGGTACATGAATGCAAAATACAGCACGACATGTAAATTTGGAATTAAAACTAATTGGAATTTAAATTAAAAATTTTCGGTTCCAGACACTTTCTGTTACTCTTTTTGAATACCTCGCATTTGAATTCCATTTTCACGCATAGAACAATTAAATTAATGCAACAAATTTTTTAAATGCATTGCATTCCATGCAAAAAACTAATTTACTTTACTATTTTGTAAATTCTAAACATATTTCAAGACGATAATTTGTCGACCTTGTGTTTGATTTTAGCGACATTTGTAGACGACTTGGTGACAATTGTCGCCCTACTGGCGTGAACCCTAGTTATACGATATTTATTCAATAACGCACACTATATTGTGAGTTACAAAAAAGACATTAAACGAACTTGCATTAAAAAAATAGGAATTTCTTTTATTCTTAAATACTGCTATGTAATAAACTAGTTCTACATTGTTTAGCCATGAGAGCAATCGAAAGCTAGACCTACTAAATGTTAACATTTTTGTTTACTCATTTCACCTTTTCTCTAAAACTATTTACTGAAATAAAAACAGTTCACACATAATTATAAGACTTGTAACACTTGGAGAAACGAATTTTATAATTGTATGCAAAGAATTTTCAATTCGTTAAAATATGTTTTCGAAATATTGTTGAATACGCACAGAGTAAAATTAACATTAAAGGTTCCAAAAAAAAGGGTATTTTTATTCAGAGAAAGTTCGTTTTTATGCCTGATTTTGTAACTTAAAATATCGTTTTTTTTAAGTAATTAGCACATTTAAGGTAACCACTATGAGGCATTACGATGGAACACGAAGATCCGATCATCAGATCAAAAGTTATTTAGGGTGGTCCGTGTTTTATTTCGCGCACCGTGCAATCAATGTAATACCAATGATCACAATAAAGTAATAATTAAACTAATATTTAATAACCATCATAGACAGCAGTAACTCTTCTTAATCTCTCATATTATTTTACAATTGCTAGCATCTTTAAATTGCAAATGTTGGCCTAATGAGATGAGTTAATTCTTCCAACTCTGTCACGATTGTCGGGAGAAACCTATAAACTTTTTAAGCTCATTATTTTGGAATCTAAAACTATTGTTCGATTCCTTTATTTCTTCACAAATTAAATCGACACAGTCATAAGTAAAGAATTAACTTTTTAACTTTTAAATGTAATGTTACCGTTTTCTAAAATTTAAATTTTATATTGTCTTTCTTAAAATATTATATTTTATTACTGCTGGAAAGTTTCTAAAATACTAAATGGAATAGAATATAATAAAATTTTGAAATCATATTTTAACTATTCAAGTTTATTCTTTGTAACATCAATATTATACTTAATTCTAAATAAGGTATTGTATTATACTAAATTCCATTGTTTATTTTTAAAATGAAATATTCAACTTACTGTTGGAAAGAAATCGTTAAAACTTATTGCTCTATAGTTTTTCAGAATAGAGGGCAGACAAATCGAAATAATTACATTATTTTTTCAGCAGATTATAGTTCTTACTTTTTGTGTTATTATGTGCAATAAGAATATCGCTTTTGTAGTCTCTAAAAATAAATTAATTTTTCAAAAAAAAGTTATATGTTTGAAATTCGAAAACATCATTTTTCATTTCTAGCTTTATTTTTTATTATTACTGTACAAAATTAAAGCATGAAAAATCATAATACTTCATAGATATTTCATGTTTACTTTTTTTCTATTTTAAAATTGACATTTCTATGTAATCTAGTAAAATGTTGATGTCTGGGAAGTTTTATAATGATGTTATCCTTTCCTTTTCGTTGTTATTATGTTAAGGCATTTTTTTTTCAAATTAAAAAAAAAAAATTTTTTTTATTTAAGTTGTTTTATAAAGTTTCTTCTTGATAATTGTGAAGATTTTATTTAATTTTTCATTGAATAAAATGGTCTCACAATTCAATGAAGCCGAAACGAGTCTGGTTTGAAAAATAAATCTGCAAAGCCGATCAAAAGGCAATTTAAATAAAAGAATAAAATTCAATTTTTGTAATAAAATTTTATTTATTTTGTGGACGTATTTTTTCTGCCACTAGATATCCAATTAATCCAATGGATGAAACAAATAACAACATATATATTTTAATGTACTGACAAATATAGTTGCTGCAAGCGAAAGACACGCAGGCTCCTATGGAATGACTTAATTCATAACATCCAAAAGCAGCTTCTTCATTCTTTTTGAAAAGAACTCCATGGAATGCTAACACAATAATAGATATCGATTAGAAATTATAATTAATAAATCAAAACAATAGTTATGAATACACTTCGCCGGGATTCGAACCCGGTTCACCTCATTGGGGGCTAACGATCTATCACGGTTGAAAATTCTCTCCGGACGGTAATCGAGCCCCGGTCTCCAGCGTGACAGGCCACTATACTGCCTGTTACTAGGAAAATAATTTTAATAAAAAGGTATTTTGAAATTCATTTGAAACTAGGAGTTTTTTCTTCTTATAAAGTGTGCAGAGAAAAATCGATTAAAAAGAGCTTAATATGAGCAACAACAAAAAAAATTGAAACAATTATAAAATAAAATAAAAATTTATGTTTCATATAATTTCGAGCTATATTTTTAATTAAATTTAATTTTTTGATTAAAGTTGCTCTTATTTAGTCTAAATAAAGAAACTATATATTGATGTTCCCGAATAGCAAACATTTTGATCTCGAATGCTAGGATATTTTTTTTTTGGTGTTGAGGATTAAAAGTACATATTGTTTATTGAATCGAAATATGTAAAGGACTACAAGTAATGTAAATGAATGATAATGGTTAGAAAAGCGAAATTTTCATGAAATGGTAATTTCAGCTTGTGGATTTTATGAAATAATTTAAGTACACTGTAACAAATTAGGATCAAATTACTGTATTAAGTACTGTCATTTCACCCGGGGCACTATTCGAAAAATTCATTTTTACAGTACAATTTTATACGGTATTTTTTACAATAATATTTATTTAATTAGATTGGATCAATTAGTTTACGGTACTGTACAGAGATGTTACTGTAATTATTACGGTAAAAATTACGGTTTATTAGATTGTTTTGTTTCGTAACATGTTCCGGTAAAAACTGATTTTATGGTAAAAAGTACCGATGCACTGAATGTTGGTATTTTTTTTTACCGTAATTTGATTTGGAAATGTTTTACTGTATAAATCAGAAATAAAAAATAAAAAGTGAAAATCGAAAAAAAAAATATCAACAAATATCAAAAATAAAAAAAAAGTACGAAATATTCAATACAGTTGTTAATAATATTAATTTACAACTGAAAACTCTGCTACAAATATAGATAAAAAAATTTTATCACTAAAATTATGTCATAAATGTGCACTAATACATTATTAAATAAAGATTATCAGAACAATATAAGACAATTAAATTGAAAATTTCAAAATCAACGTCACCCAATAAAGTAGTCAAAATTAAGAAAGAAAATCCAAGTGACCAAGTGATCATTCCAATAAATTGTTCTGGAAAACTGTGTATCACAGATAATAAAGAAAGTAACCTTAGGAAAAAATGGACAGGTTTTTATCGTGTAAGTAAAGTTGATCATACCATGATCAATATAAAGTTGATCAAGATACCATGTTGATCCATCAAGACCACTTTTAATATGTATTTCTTAGAATCCTTTACAAAAAGAGAATTAACAAGTAGAAATGGGGCTTTCATACTTAAACAAGAAAAGAATAAAAAATGTAATCGAAATCTTACCGATCAAAATAATTTGAAGCGAATTTAATAAATAACAAGACTGGATTGACTGCGAGAGAAAACAGAGAGAAATTGAAAGACAATTATTAGAAATACCTTTAAATGTTTTACTACATTCGTCTTCCTGTACTGTTATTTGTTTACCTTCGTTTTTTAAAGGTGTAAGCTTTAAGGTATGTTAAGTTAAGTGAACTTTAAGTGTTAAGGTAAAACTTTAAGGTGTTTTTGTTCCTTCCTCAGTTAAATATTATTTCGAAACCTCCAATGTGTATACTTTTTTTGTTTTCATATTTAATAAGGGTTTTAAATATGTATATAAAAAGAGCCATTTTTAGGAAACACTCTGTATGTGTTTTTTCTATATACCTCTTTAATGAAATATATAAAAAGTTCCTTTTTTATATAATATTCGGAAGAAAACCTAAAATTTTATTTTTTTTCTCACGAAAGGAGAAGAAAGGACCAAGCAGGGGTGATTGTGAGCCCAAGTCAAAATTCCGGAAAATTTCTTGAATTATAAAAAAAAAAANAAAAAAAAAAAAAAAAAAAAAAAAAAAAAAAAAAAAAAAAAAAACAGTTAAAATTTAAACAAGTTTTTTTTTTCCTTTTTCTCAATATTTCTTAGCTTATTTAAAATATATTTAAAATTGTGCACATACCTATACCATTTACACATACCTATGATGACCTGAAGAAGTAATTAAAATTTACAAATCTGTCTTTCTTTCTTGAGTTTATGATTATAATAACTATTTACTGATAAAAAATTTATCTGGCTCTCCCTTACAAGCAAAATAAACTATGTTTTTAAGTTTCACCTTTGAAAATTTGAATTCCAGAAACTTCCGTGATCAATGATTTTTTGAAACGTCTGGACCTTCGATCTCCGGAAACTTCCGGATCACTGTTAGCGAAAAATCCGGAAATCCGGATTTTTTTCGGAGCACAATCAGTCCTCAACAAGAAGAGATTTGAAAATAAATTATAATAGGAAAATAAAATCACAAACATAATTAACTAATACTAATTATTCAATAATTAAACCTTACTTGACAACAATACTCACAACTTCACTAACAAAACACTATATTTCAACCAAAACAAAACTAAAAATATCACTTTTAATAAGTTTGAAATCAAATAAATACTTTAAGAAAATATGAATTTAAACTTATTGTTCACTTAACTCTTGATTGTTAGCTTTAGATTTCCTTTTCATTTTTTAAAACGAAACATATTGTACTTTTGTCCATAAATATTACTTATGGATACACACCTTTTAATTGAGACCAGAAACTTCCCATTATCACTCCCCACATTCCAGCCACAACAAAAAACATGATTGGTCGATTAGAATCTGGAGTCCATAGCAACATGATAATATTAACAGCAACATTCATTATCCCGGCCAGCAAGAAAATTGTTCGTCTTCCGAGATGCTTCACTAACCATCCAGATAAGGTAGAGGCCGCAGAACATGTTATGCCAAATGTTATTGTCACTAAACCAACATGATGCATACCCCACGCACAACCGACGAAAGCCTGAAATGAAATTGCAACGATTCTTAATGTACGATTTTCAAATGAATTTATGTCAAAAATTAATTTTGAAGAATACCTTACATGCATGACAGCTGTCTTAAAATGCAGGAAAAAAGTAAAAATAATTTATAATTGGCTACTTGCAACTCGAGAAGAAGAATACGTGATTAAGCCCAACCATGCAGTTTAAACCATATTTAATTGAATACCTGTTAGCGACGTTATGTGTGTGTGCCGAGCCTGATTGGCATATCAATCGACGAATGCCATGATTTAAATAGAATGACGCCACTTGAGTATCCAATTAATGAGTTTTTAGCCACGTGACTATAACTTTGCACCGAGTGAAAAAGCTCTGAGATAGTAGATAGCTATGGCGTCAGCATTGAAAAGATGGTAAGGTATTATAACATTAATCAAATTTGGCTTTCATTTTTATTTACTTTTTCCAAAAAAAAATTACACTAAGTTAGAGTTTTTAGCGTACGTTTTTTTGCAAAATCTCTTATTTTCACTTAAATAAGTTTGATATTTTTTTCACGGATGCATGCGCTTTTCACCAGAACTGCCGCGTGGAAGTGCGTACGCGCAATTGCTTGACATCCTACTTACGGGAGAGTACGGAAGTTAACGTAAATTTGCGAAATCTTTCTATTATCATAGGATAAAATCTCTAAAAAAGTTTAGCAAAATCTTGTCTAGAGCTTAGGATTTTCAATGAGATTTAAATGATTGTTTAAATCTCATATAACCATGTTCTTTCTATTTGTATAATTTAGGTAAATTGCTTTATTAGTCACATAAAGTAACTATTTAAATTGGGCACAAATAATTTCATATATATTAAGTATATTGTTAATGAATTATTTCAGTCATTAATTCAAAAATATCGAACATTAGTAATTATAACTACCACACAACTGATAATTAACTAATGGCAAAAATTACATTTTAGTAAGTGAGATTTCGTTCACTATATTAAAAGTTACCTGAGCTATTATTTTTACCCCTATTATTTTGTATCAAGTTACTATAGAAACGAAAAGTTATTATGGTTTAGGTTTTGAATAATAAATTTATGTAAGTAATAAAATTTTCTCAAGAGGGCATTTTAAACCGAATTAATAAAAAGAAACTTCTTACCTTTGGGTAATCTGCATAAAAAAATCCTTGTGACATTCCCATGTAGATGGATAAAGGTACGATTAGAAGTTGCAAAGGTCTTTTTAGCTGATTAAATGTTGCCAAAGCAAAATCCATGGAATAATGGACAGTGGTCTTTCTATTTTCCAACGGATCTAAGAAAACAGCAACAAGTAAAACTGCAAGTATATTCAAAGCTAAAAAAATTGAAATCAGTAGATATTTCACTTCTTTACTTGGCTCTTTTAAGTTGATTTCAAAACATTCAGATTCAATGTTACAGAAGTCCGCGCCGCACATGCAACTCGAGTCTTGTATGTAAGTATTATTAACAACACCCCGCTGAAGCACATAGAATGATACAATGTTACTCCATATATGTCCAGACTGATAAAACATAGAATGAATACCAAAGAATCTTGCAGTTGTTGATTCGACTAAGAGCGAGGTAAAGCCGCTTTGTTCATGATGGGCCTTTGCTGTTGAACAAACTGGAATTATGGAATTCGGTACTGGGTCAAAAGTTCTGTCTAACTTATCGATGGAATTTATTGTTAAGGAAGCTTTGTCGAATTTTTCTGAAGGATTCTTAACTACGTCTAGTTCATTTCCGAGATTAGTTGTTAAAGAAGCGTTCGTTTTATCTGCAGTATTTGTTGAAGAAAAATCACTGTCCAATTTTTCCCTATGATTCATTACAGAAGAAATAATATTTAATTTATCCATGGTGTTTGTCGTTGAAGGAGCTACAGACTTAACTATGGAATTTGCTGTATATGAAGAATTATCCAACTCGAGTGAAGAACTACTTCTGCAGCTGAATGACTTAATAACAGGCATGGTTGTGGAAGAAACAGTGTCTAATTTATCCATACAGGCAATAGTCTGTATGGTTGCATTGGCAAGCTCGAACACAGTCGACATATTATAGTTTGTATTTTTTATTGAAGTAATGTTTTTATAGTTTGCTGTGGAATTTTTTTCTATTGTTCGTATAGTACAGCAATTTTTATTAGTACTTGAGGAGACTGATTGTTCAAGTAGGTTGGAATATTTACGACAATCTGTTTCACAGCAATCATTCAATGGCGTGAAATTTTTGAAACAGTTACTATCATAAGTATTGATGAGTTCATTTCGTCTCAATTCATTTTCAGGAGATGTCTTCTTAATTTCGAGATTAAAAGCGTACTTGTTCGATATTTCGTTTAAGTATGCACTGTTTGATCCCCATAAAAGGGTAGCTGCAATACCCATAATTGCATAAGAAGGAATCATGATCAGCCAGTGAGGATAAAAATTTGCCACTGTGCTGGGTATATGAGCTAGTATGCAAAATGTTGAAGTCATTTTAGTTCCTAACTTCAAAATTGAATATTTCATGAAAAAAAGAGCTATTATACATCCAAATGCAAATTGGATTGCGATGGAAACAACGCCTATTCCCTCATTCCTATTCAGAGTACTTTGCAACATCTGCAAACCATCAACTGAAGTACATATTAATAGAAATGCAATTGATAGCAGCAAAACATTTTTAATAATCCGAGCATTAGTAAAAAATGGTGCATCTTTTAATACTTCAGTTTCTGTATCATTTTCCATGCTGTTTTTAAATGTTATTAGCTTAGTTACGCAACAGAAATATGTCAGCGTTTAGTAAAAATACTAAATATTCCACAAAATCGTTTTCTCCCATTTTCTGCGTCAAACAATTTATCAAAAAATATTGTTGAAATATTCAATAGCGATTTCACCTAAAAAAATAAATTTTTATTAAAAATATTACTGTACAAAATTAAAAAGTAGTATTTTACAAACTAGAGAAAGTATAAAAAAAGTTCAAAATAATAAAAACTTTAAATGAAAAGCAACATACAAAATTATGTAATAATATTTCACCTAGTTAAGATTAAAGGCCACACTGTAAAAATTCCGATATAAAGTACTGGCAATTCGAGTCCCTCATCCGTAATATCAATTTTAACCGTAAAATATTATACTGTCAGTTTTAAAGTAATATTTACTTAATTAGAGTGTTTCAGTGATTTTACAGTAAAAATTGCGCTGCGTCAGATTTTTTGTTCCGCAACTCGTTACGGTAAAAATGGATTTCACAGTAGTAAAATCACTTTATCCTGAGTGTTGGTACTTTTCTTTACTGTAATTTAATCCGGATTTGTTACAGTGCAAAGCATGTTCTTTCAGTGTATACGAAACATGCGAAACTGACAGTCTTCCACAAGATGGTGCGAATCTGTCCTTTGAGTTCTACTCAAAGTTGATTTTTACGTATCTTATAATGGTAAATAAGAAATAATTCCACTTTTTAACTCTATATAAGCTCGTAAACTTTGTTATAAATTCATAATGATTTCCACTACTTAGAAATACTTTGATTTTTACAACCTTTTTTTTCATCTGAATGTAATGAATTATTTTGTTTTGTTTTTTAAATTAACCTCTTTACTCAAAAAATATTTCTTTTTCATGTTTAAAAGTTTCTCCAACATTTCATTACTCATTGATTAAGTGCAAGTCACGTATTAAAAAGAAATTGAAGTTAGGAAACGAATACAATTTTATCTCCTTTGAGTTTCCATACTGTGAAAATTGTGGTGTAATATCTCACTATAAACTCATAATGATTTCCACTACTTAGAAATGCTTTGAATTTTTAAATCTTTTTTTCTTATCTGAATATAATGAGTTATTTCGGTTTTTTGAAATTTAACCTCTTCACTTAAAAAATATTTCTTTTTCATGTTTAAAAGTTTCTCCAAATTTTCATTACTCATTGATAAAGTACAAGTTACGTATAAAAATGAAATCGAAGTTAGGAAACGAATACAATTTTATCTCCTATGAGTTCTATACTGTAAACCGAATACGATGGGGAACAACCCAAACAACTCATTTACGTTATAAGGGTTATAAATTTAAATTTAAACACTTATAATCGATGGCTTACACCGAATTCTTACTCATTCGCACAAAACAAAAATTATTTTCAATTCCAAAAACGACGATGTGCTGACGTGCTTTTTTTTATTGTCAGAAGTTAGAGTTTGAAATCGAGAATTAGTTGGGACGACTTTGAGTGTTGTTAGGATTTAAACGAATAACTTGTTGTTCATCTTCAAAATACGCAACTTGTTTTTTTAATCTCTGTGAACTCCATTAACTGATTTTAACATGTATAATTTCTATTAGTTTCCATTTTTTTCGAGTTCGTCTTTATATTATTTCTGTGATACTTTTATGAAACAGACTAACTTTATTTTGAAAATAAAATAAGTTTGTTGTGTACTAGTGTGTTTGGCAAACAAAATAATTTTATTTTGAAAAATAGTATCTACTTCAAATTAATAATTCTTACTTTATTTTACATCGTAATTATGCATTTAATGACACTTATGTGCATCTTATTTAACTATAATTGGTAATTTCTGTGCTACTGAATGTAATAAATAGCGCCGGCTACTTTATACCAAGTAGTGTTGAAGAACTTGTTAGTATCGACGAATACTTGATGGAGTACCACTTTCTTCGATTTGAAGTAGTCGCCACCATTTTTTAATTTAAGATACACGAATGTTTTAACAGTGTAATAAAATGCTCGAAATATTCATAGATAATAAAAGAATTGTTGTCTAATCAGTTAACTGAAGAAAAAAATATACTAATGGAGGTTATAACTGTGATAAACACCTACAACTTGCATTACTTGAAGTTATAAACGTTTTAAAATCTAAACTTACTTTCAGAATTCATATATAAAGTTTTGATACTAATAAAAAAAGGCTTTTTGTTGTGGTTATAAATACATATAAGTAAATGCATTTTCAAAATATAGAATAATACGACGAATTAATAAGCGTTCAAAACATATGATAATTCTTTTTAAATAAAACGGTTATTTAACTGCCAAACGGTTATTTACAAATTTTCCTTATAGTAGTTTAAGCAAAATGCAATACAAATAAACATTTGGAGATAATAACAATAAGCATAAGAACTGCTACAATGAGAAAAAAAATTAGGGTATTTTTTTTTTTTTTTGCTGTATACGAATTCTGAAATATTTTTACAAAATTTCATCTTGGAAAAAAATTATCAGAAAAATAAAAATTGCAAGAAAAGTAACCAAATGTAAATCTAAATTTTCTGCATATGTCAGTTCTGATAAACGTGAAACAACAAAAGTGCTTAAATAAAGGTAATACAAAGCCAGACTTACCTAAAAAAATAACACTCAATAAAACAACTAAATTCATATGAAATTCTCTACAAATACGTCATTCTGACGTCATTTGTTTCCTTAAATATGGATTTGGATTCCTTCAGTTGTAAAATAATGAAAATCTATTGGAATTTACAAGGTAAGAAATACCAATGGAAATATTTCAATGTAAACAATAGAAACTGAAAAGAAATGCTCTTCGTGTGTCATATTAACAAGTTAAATGGTTGCATTTAAATATCTAAGTCAAGAAAAGGAAAGGTAATGATGAAAACTGTCACCTGGAAAATGTCAACAGTGCAAGCAGACAGTCAATTGCATTCTTATACTTTGAGTCAAGGTTAAAAAATGTTCTTATTCCTCGAAAGATTGAGATGAATTTAGTTGATAAAGACACGGAAAGGCAAGGAAAATAAAGCTAGAATGAAAATTGATTCTTTCTTTTAATTCCTTGTTTCATTTTAAAGTCGAATTCTTTCCGAGATTAAAAATATAGAAGTATAATAAATTATTCCTAGAAAAACTTTTACAATATATATATTGTACAACTTGTTTGTATTATTCAATTGCATTTTTATTTTTTAGCGATATAGACACATTATAAAGAGTAATTTTTGTCTTAGGATAGTTATTCTTCATTCAGAAATATCGCATTTATCGTAAAGGATGTGTCCTGATGAAGACCTTTACGTTTTCCCTTAAAAAGTTTTTCTATTTTATTTTACTTTATTATTATTATTCATTTATGCGTTCTTTAACAAAGAAAAATGCATGATTCTACCATTGGAACACCTTACGCATGAGAAACTGTCGAATATATTGTAAAAATAATNTATATATATATATACTCGATGCTAGAAAATCGCCGCTGGTATGTATTATTTATTATATTACGAGCTCTTCAATTACAAGCTTCATATCCCTATGATAGTGGATTACTCCATTTCTTCTGAAAGTTGTAAAAGCAATTGAATGCATGTTTGCATATTTCGATTTTAAAATTTTAAAATCAGATACAAATATTTCTTTCTTCTTAATAGCAAATTAAATGAAAAGGCATTTCGAATCTTTAATTAGTGTCTCATATGTAATATATTTTATTTTATGTATAATAATTATTCACTAATTTTTCTCGAGGTTAAGATAAGCTTATTATTATTATTTTGCACATACGTCTTAGTCTTAACTCATTAATTACATTTCACACATGAGATAGATTAAGATCAACGTAGAGAACATCCGGAAAAAGCTTTTGACAATAAAAAATAAATAAAGAAAGAAGAAAAATCATTAGTGCACAGCAGAGGTCACGCGAAGATGAAATCCTAACAATCTTTAAAGAAAAAGGGTAAAGAAAAGGAACATGGGATTTCTGGAGAGATATAACTTGTTATCACAAATGTGCAAAAATTTATAACATAAATGCTGCGAAAACATTATTTTGGTTAAATTACAGGATTGGCAGTGCAGAAAAAAAACTCAGCATCGCAGAAAATCGTTGACTGTGAATTTGGAGAAATTGAGATGCACAATATTGTTCCCAGAATGGTAAACAACTAATTTCTAGATCCATGAATCTCGTTGAACACTATTGCACAACGATGGTGTTTGTGATATTGTTTCTTTTGGCCAATATATTGGATGAACTGAAGCCAATTTGGGACTCCCGTCTTAAAAGGATTGACTATTTTGGGTACCAAGGCCGAAAAAAATAGGAGCCTCTGGTATATATTGACCAAATGTATATGAATCATGATTAATTTGCATTTTTATCACAGTCCGGAGAGTTAGGACTTGTTGACACAGGTATGTAAAAATTTGTAATATAAATGCTACAAAAACATTATTTCGGCTAAATTACAGGATTGGCAGAGCAGAATAATAACTCAGCAGAGAAGAAAATCGTTGGCTTTGAACTAGGAAAAGATGACATGAAGTTCCCAGATTGGTGAATAACTAATTTCTAGATTCGTGAATCCCGCTGAACTCTATTGCACGACGATGGTGCTTGTGATATTGTCTTTTCTTGGCCAATATATTGCATAAACTGAAGCCAGTTGGGACTTCTTCAGAAGAGGATTGGCTATTTTGGCTGGCAAGGCCGAAAAAAATGGTAGCCTCTGGTATATCGTATTAAAAGACGTAGATATTTTTAAAAGTAACCGGATTTACCAACGTAACTACTAGGCAAGAATGTAAGAACTAATGTTCAGTATTCTGTATAATGATGCTAAGAAACAAATGATAATAAGAAAATAAATGATGATAAAACAAAAATAAATTATCCCTACTTCTTGAAAAATGTATAAAATTAACCCTTTGAGGTCGTATTAAAGTTATACATAGGTGTCATGCTAGTCGGAATTAACTTTCGTTGAACGAACAGTAGAATACATAATATACAAGATTACGAAAGAAAAATAAATTTTATTAATTCTTTTTTAAACTTTAGATATTTACAACACAATTATATGCTTTAATTTTAAGTAAAAATAAACGTGAAAAGAAATTTTTAGATGAAAGAAAATAAATTTTTATTATTTTCAATAAAGTAAACAGGCTTAATTGAAATTTTTCATAGTTTAAAATCTAGATAATAAGGTATTTATTACAAAATTAATATGAATCATACTTATCCATACATATATAGTCATGCCTATACATTTACGTATACGCTTATTAAAAAATAACTACTATCTAAAGCAATTTCGTTACAAATTACACAAACACATGGTTCACAATATGCATTCTTCAACTGCTTTGCTCAACGCTTTTAATGGTATCGCCAATCTTTTTTAATTTAACTGTTTCAAAATTTTTTTTAATAAAATTCAGTCTTTAGAAATATAAAGTAAAGTCAAAATCATATAAACCTTCAAGGAGGAATACAAAAAGGAAAATAAAACAAAAATTTTGTTGTAATTAATGCATAACTTCATATTTATCATGAAATTTCGATCTCGAATTCATAAATAATTATGGTTATAAATTAAAAAAAATAGACTGTTTATTTTTTTATAGTATAGATTTATGGTTGAATTTTACTGATTGCAAAATATTTTAGAGTTGCAATGTGCATATGTTTAAGTGTATGTGATAATCCTTCAAAACAGTCAAATTGAGAAAAGCTAAATTTTCATTCGTTATATATACTATTTTAATAGCATTCATTACTTTATCTTTTTTAAATGTACTATGTTAAATTTGAATCAGAATTATAATTATATATTTTTTATTTACTCTCGTAATCATATTTTTTATAAGTGCAAACTATTTAAAGCAACAAGAAAAATTCATTTCGTTTAAAAAAATGAAGAAAGTAAGATGGTTTTAAATTAAGAATAGAGAAAGAAATTGCTACGAAAAAAATATATTAAATGGATAGCTCAAGAGTTTATTTATTATTTAAGTTTTAAGAGGAAAAGAAAAAACAATAAATGAAAATCCGATGACTATTTTTTTATCCTGATCAATACTTATACATCGCTGGAAGATACAGTTCACATTCAAGTGTCTCAATAGAAGTTGGAATGAACAAAACTACAAACAAAAAAAAAAAACAGAGAGAAAAAGGAAAATTTTAAGAAAAGCACTTATTTTGTTTTTGGATTGCTATTATTTATAAAAGGTACACATTATTTACGAAAATAAGTAAAGATGGTATTATGCTATTGTTTGGCATTCATTCCGCATTCTTGTTAAAAATGAAAACAAACAGGAAATTGATGATATTAAGGCTTTTATTCCACATTCTTTCAGAATAATGTTTGGCTTATACTTTTACGTATAAAGATAACGAACTCACTTAAGCACCTCAACATGCAAAATATTTCAAGACTACATCGAGAAAAAAAGAATGGCTAAAGCTACCAGATTATGGTAAAATTTATCATGTTGCTGGCTCGCTTTCGTAAGGCAAAATTAATTATAAAATATAGTTCCATAATACATAATGAAATTTGATGAATGAGGTAAAATTTGGTAGTTTTGTCAGGATACCTTATCGAATAAACAACATTTATTCGGTAAAATTTGGTATTTTTTACTTAATGTGTGGTAATAAGAGCTATAATTCTTTTTTCTCCGATTACCCGTTATCAAATGAACGGAAAAATTACTAAATTATCGTATATTTTAGTTTTATTAACTAAAACTATGTTGTTGTTTTTGTTTTAATTTTTAATATCATTGTGAACTATAATTTTTTCAGTTATGATTTTCACCACGTAGAATATATAAATATTTCTTTCTCAAAAATCAAAAGCTCCAAAAAATAGAAATTAGACTGATTAATTTTACTTTCACAGTTCATATTACAATAGTTAATCTTTTGAGTTTACGCAACAGCTAGGTGTATTTTCTTCAAAAATGATTTCTTTTTCTAAATAATAGTAATGATAAAATAAGCAGAAATTAATACTTTTCCTCACTACCTCAGAATAACCAGGACACACGATAATTGTTGCTGTTGTCGTATGTCATTAAGGAAAAAGGAATGCGATTCTTCTTGCTTCCCAGTGGCGCCATCTATGGACGAGAATTCGACTTCTGCCACACACATACGTCTCAAACCTTTCATAGGGCTGACCCATTCACATATACATTCATTCGTCCACAGATCGTAATTTTGACCTGAACCATAGAACAATCAATTTCCAATTCAGTACCTACAGAGGTATGATTTGTTATGGGAACATGGATGACTTTGTGACCTGACAGATTTAATGTGCACTAGTCACCATTTACTAACGGAGAGTATTCTGCCGGCTGGAATCGAACATCCGTTCTGACAAACGTGAGTCTAGCGCCCTGCCAATCAGGTTATCCTGGTCCTCCATAGCGCGTGGAAATGCATTTTACATTGATTTGCCCCTAATTACTAGAGTCGCTTTTCTTGTTCTTTTTTTAAATAATTTTCTTTTCCTCACAGCGACAGTGGCTTTTCCTAGTTTTCGTTTCTCACCCTTTTTTCCATTTTTCATTAGAAACTTAAAGCGTTTATTTCAAATCAGGTTTGTTTCTGTTTATTCACGTCTGGCAAATGGGTGACCATTTTTTGAGAGCTGGAAACATGTTGACTGTTATTGTACTTACAGTTTCCTTTCCGCTTTCAAAAAAAATTAGTTAAATGTTCCTACGGAATTTGAAATTACTAAATTAAACCTGCCAGGAAAGTAAATTATCATACGTTTGATAAGTAACTAAATTACAATTTTATAGCGAAATTCTATTGTAGCAGAAAAACAATAGATTAAAACAATACATTAATGTGCGCCATTTTTACATAATTTTTCTATTTCTCTTGTAGCAAACTAAAAGA